TGTTCTGAAGAAGCTAAAGATGTGAGGAAGAATAAAAGAATTAAAATAAATGTTCCCCCAAATTTAGGATCCATTAATCATGTAAATGTTTTGTCTGCTTCTCAATGCAGTATGGTCTGAAATAATGTGGATTACATTTCTACCTTATCTCTTCCATACATGATGTCATGGAAAAAGCAGGAAATACGTATGTGTATATATGTATATAAGCTACAGATATAACATCTCTTCAAAGCAAGGGTCCCCTGGAAGAGGTAGATGCAAAGAAATCACGAGTTCTGGCAATTTGGGTGGGGGGGCATGTGAGTGTATCATTTGCTGATTCTCTTTCACAGATCCTTGCACCAAATCTCAATAGCTTAATGAAATGAGATTTTACTGTCTGAGATTTTCCCAAAGATGAAGTAAAGGCAGCAATAGTTGTAGTACATATTTTGTATAAAGTCTTGAGACATACTTAAATGCTTGAGTAGCCACGCAATGAAAAGTGCAGGGTAAGTCAGTCATAGTAAGGAAAAACAGGTATTATGGTTTATATCTGATACTTGCATTCTTGCTGGACCACTTCAGAACATTTTAATAAAAGTACAATATTAGTTGTCTTTTGCTGTTTTTTTAAATAGTGGAGTGCCTGTTAGAGTGTTTGTTTAATTTACAAGTATTTGTCAATTTGCACGGTCTGTTGCATGAACAGTATATTACCTATCACTGTGGAAAGTCAGGAGCACAGATCACAGTTCTGTGGGAGATAGTGTAAAGGATATAGTTCTTTCTTTTGGTTTGTTTTACTCTTCCATTCACCATGACTCTAAGGTTAAATTCGAAAACTACTGTTGTGTTAAAAGTCGTGTCTTTGCTACATAGTATTTTAATGGTAACAAATGCCTTAATCAGTTGTGTTAAGACAAAGTACACCCATATAAGCTTCTCTTATTAAAAACAGAGGAGCCTTTAAATTCAAATTCTGTTCATCAAACTCAGTAGAATGTACAACAAATTAGATCTCAGTATTTCAGCATGAATGGTCTCTCAAGAGACCAAATGCAAATTGAGGAGAATATTGTTGAATCAAAGGTGATATTTTTGTTCTGCACAATTTCACAGATGGTAAGCCATACATAAGGGTGCTAACATTTTAAGTGAGTTTTACTCATTTAAGTATGCAAATTTGCACAGCCTGGTATCTAATCTTAAGCAGAATTATTGCTCACTTGTGTCTGTCTAGTTGCTCGTTTCCCTGACTGCATTGTATGTGATGTCATACTATGGTATTATTTTAACTATTGTTCTTCAAAGTATGTATTTGCCTTCTGTAGCCGTCTTTAGCATTACGTGAGTGAGACTAAGTGACTTTTTTAGTTGGAGCTCTTTTGGTTTGGCTTTTTTGTCCTATTTTCTTTAGAGGTGTGCTGTACTCATTTTATTTCTGTGGCATGATATAATGACAATTAAAAATTTACACCAGTGACTGGCAGCAGAATTTGGGCCAAAGTGATGGGTCAAAAGAGCACTTAGTGCAGTTATTTCCTGAATATGGAAATCAATGACTGTTGTTAGGGGACAACATCTGCTTTATTAGTCCCAAATTGTAGGTCGGGTCAATTAATTTCAGACTGAAAAAGCCAGCATGAATTTTCAGAGAAATAAAACTAAGAAGTGTGCACACTTTGGTCTTAGTAGGAGATCTCAGTTTCTGGAAATACAGTGGAAAACTAGGGATGCATTCTGCTTGTCAGTCAATATAAAACTTACAAATGCAAACAGTATTTTGCCTTTTTACCTTTCTTTTTCTTTCTTGTATTGCATAATTGAAATCAGTGGAACAATGAATCACGAAACGCATAGTAAAAATGTCCCCTCTCATTTTAATTGGAATATCCGTACAGATTTGTATAAGTGTTCCTGCTCCAGATGCTATTTAATTTATAAATTTAATTCAAGGTATCGGAGTACAGTTGTCAGAACATTCATTTAATAGTTGTCGTTCTTTCACAACCAAATGCCTAAGCCCCATGAAGTAAAAAACAAGCATCCTTTGCTACCCCGCTAATACAACAAGCACTGAAAATAAGAAGTCTTGACTTATTTAGATTCAGTTAGGAAGACAGATAATGTCTAGTCTTCAGCCAGATAATGTCTTCTGTCATTGACTCTTTGCAAATAGGTCTACTTTTCTGTCAGCTGGACAATCTTCAATAGAAAACTGTTAAAACCAAGTGTGTAGACACCGTGACAGTTTTCTGTGTCATGAAGGCAGCTTAAACCTGATGGATATAAATTTAATAAAATTAAAAATAACCCAGCAAACTAACTCTAAATTAGAGTTTCTTGCAACTGATGCAAAGAATTCACGAAGACAGTTTTGTACATCAGTTAGATTTCTTAAGTGATTGTTAGACTGGAGTTCTCACACCAGGCACTAATCTGAAGTCCGTGTGCCAGAAAAGCATTGAAAATATTTTGGGTTCCCTTACCACTTCTATAGTCCAAACGTATTAGTGTCGGTACTACTGATGTAAACAAGTGGATTTCTATAACTCTTTACAATTACATGGCAAAAGACTGACAATTTTTCAATTTTAAAAAGCATAAAAAATAAAGTAAGTATTTTCTAATAATTACCTATCTGCATATGTTGCTTTAAGTTGCATTTGCAAAAATTTTGCAAAACAAAAATACAGTTTATTGGTCTTTCTAAAGACAATACTGTACAATAGAAAGCACAGATGTGTCTTCTATGGTGAAGCTTGAGAGAAACAAAAAATGCATCTAAATACATATTTAATTATCCCAGAAAAAAATAGTAAATTGAAGCTGACCAAAGCCTAGGGCATTCTTTAGGATGGCTTCCAGTTATCCCGCTGGGGACAGCATGCAATCCTGTATGTCTGTATATTAGTAAAGCTGTGATAGGGTGGTGTTCTTTAAGGGTATTAAAAGTGAGGAATTGCAAGAATTGAACAGACAGTCTGTTTTTCCTTTTCGGTCTCCTCCTGAAGGCCATATTTTATAATACTAGATAAGAAATCACAATAATGTCTTGTACACACTGGTAATACTGGAGACATAGTCAAGTTCTGAGCATAGGAAGAAGCCCTGTGGTGTATCTTTCACAGTTTATGTCTTTCTGCTGTTGATCACCTTGACACTAATTGACTGAATAGGGTATCTTCACTGAAGAGCAATTGAAGCATAGGCAAAATCTGCTTGTCCAGCTTTATTTAGGCAGGTTGAAACTACCTGCTGTGCCACTGCTTGCTCTGTGTCACAGGGAGTTTCAAAGCACAGATGGTTCATAGCACAGCATAGTTTTGAAACAAAGTATAGCTTTGTTTCTGTCTGATTTTGTTCTAACTGCTATCAAAATGAATTATGGGAGAACTTGACAAACTTCCTTGGGACATTGAGGAGCACTGAGAGACTGTGGCTGCTCAAGCCTTTTAGCCTCCATCCCTGCCGTCAAGTTAGTGGGTCACACGTCATAGTGAGAGTGATCACACTGTGAACATACAGCAGCTCCAGTCATAGGTCTCCACATCTAAAGTCACTGAATGGCTGTAACCTTACCATTAGAATTAAATCGCTCAAACACTTTCATGGCTTTAGTCTATATTGTCAAACTTTATCCTGGGACCATGCATAATTGGTCTTCATGTGACTGACAGAAAGCTGACATAGCATACTGCTGGTCTGAAAGCCATGCTCCGTGTTTAGCAGAAAGACAGTTGCGTACCAATGCCTGATCTGGATCAAATCTGTGCTGTTGAGTGATTTGAGAATGCGTAAGTCTGGAGCGCATGATGATGTAACCACAGCCACAGTTCTTTGCTTACAAACCAGGTGATAAGCTATCGCGTTAAAGGGGGGGGGGTAAGGGGAGTCTGATATTCAACTTGCCTGCCAGAGCCCTTCCAAGGAGTTTCACTGAAACAGTTTCGCAAAGTTGAAACAATAGGTAATTTATTCAAGCGACAGTTATCACAGATTCGGAATTGCCGTTGATAAATTCACTGTCTACAAAAGTTGAGCTCAAAGTAATAGTTTAGCGCTTTAGTTAACAATGTGTTCCCGGGGATACGTCTGACAAAGTCAGAGGCGCGACTCTTCCCAAAAAGGCGTCCCTTCTTGGGGGGGGAAGAGAGGTTCAGGCCCGTCAACCCGTCCGTCAGGTGAAGTTCTCGCTTGGCTCCTCCTCCCAAAGAGAGTTTTCAAGTGCCAATTTTTATATGTTTGGAAATCTTTTTGCGAGGTGGTACTAAGTCAATTATTGTGTATCGATTGGCTCTTGGCATGGAATGTCGTGTCGTCAGAAGCAGGACTCAGCAGTGTGACACGCCTTCGGAGCGGGCATCTTGGTATGTGCATTCGGGGGCCATCTGTGCTTTGTCCAAAGCAATCTCTGAAGCAATCTCTGGCTGTGCAGCCTCCGTGGCGCCCCACAGATCACTGAGTTTACAGTGATGGGCTGTCCCCCCTTACTTTTGTCTGATAAGATAAGCACCAGTTATTTACTGCTTTTGTTAGCTCTTCGGCTCTTGATGCCTCAGTCCATTTGTCTTTTGTCTTGCATTGGACAAGTCCAGCAAGGCCATCGATTACATAAGCGAATGGCCTGAACTGAAACCACCATTCAGCTTTATGTTGAAGGGACTCTGGAGAGGTAAAATACTGGGTAAATCCCGTTCCAAGTATATATCCTGAATTACTTCAAAAGAAAGAAAGCAAAAAAATATTTTTTGTTAAATTTTGTTGTCTTCTGCAAGTGAATAACTGTCAGTGCAACTAAGAGAATCACATTTTATGGAGTAGAAGTCTAGGGCATGATGATTACACAGAGGTGTGCTGTCAAATACGTAAAGTGGAATTAGCCAGAAGGTATCCAAAGGTTGTAAAGCTTGTCATTCTTTTCTGTTCATTATCAGCAGTCTGCCATACTTAGAGCCTGTGGATAAAGTTTGGAGAGTTTTATACAGGAATCTTTTTTTTCCTTTAACTAACAGGGGACGTGTGTGACTCCAACCCATGCAAAAATGGTGGCATCTGTCTGTCAGGGCTGAATGATAACTTCTACTCATGCGAGTGTCCTGAAGGCTTCACAGACCCCAACTGCTCTAGTGTTGTGGAGGTTGGTAAGTGCAAACTTTAAATACTGGAATAGTTGTTGGAGCATCCCATTCATCTGTGGTTGGCCCACCAGTGATCACATCCATGGCATTTTCTATATTGCTGTGGTCATTGCATTGTTCATTATAAGTTTGTTAACCTTATGTCTATGTCATAGATATCTGTATCATAATTAACAGACAGATAAAAGGGTATTGGACGAGTATCTGCAGAACAAAATCACTCAGAGAAGTTCAGTTGTCTACTTCACAAACAGAAAAGATCATGGTTGTGACTTAAAGTGACCAACATTTCTCAAAGATCAATGTAATTAGATATTTCTGTATATCCTGCTGCTGATCAATTACTATTTAAAGCTTGGTTTCTGGCAGTTTTATGCCTAGGTCCATTATTTAAGCAAGTGTAGTTATAGAAACAGTATAGGAGAAACCACGCTAACACATAGTTGTCATGTTTGAATTTCAAAACAATTACTCAGCTGGAGGTTATAATTAATTATTATATGAGTGCAGAGAGTGCAAGTCAAATGCACCGAAATTTTGTGATGTGCGTTTGACTCAGAGTAAACATAAATATGAGTGGTAGCTCCAAAACATGCATCAGGTCAGGCCTCCATCTTAAGAACACTTTAGGAGAAAATCAGAGTGCAAGGGAAAAGATGGTTGACAATTCGTTGTGTCACAGGCCATCCCATCACTGTCGATGGAGCAGATGAGCTGCAAGTTGACTACACTCTTATATTATCCTGACGAGGGTGTAAAAGTATGAATGGTAGAGCAATGCAATAAATAGACACTGCAGTTTGAATAGGTCCATTTTCTACCTATCTATTCCGTGGAGTTGTGGGAGTTAGGATAGGGAGGTAAAAGTTGCAGAAAAATATTGACTTACGGAAGAGATGGCAGTGTCCCTTTGGTCGTATTAGGAAAATAATGAAAAGTGGGGGTTCTGTGTCACTACCTCTTATCTGAAGGCTTTGCATGCCCTGCCTGCATTTCTTCTGCTGACAGCCAAAGTATCCTAAAGTAGTATGACCCTTCAAGTATTTCATATCGTACGTCCGTGTGTGTGTGATTCATCAGTCTGTGCTACACCAACAAGCTTCAGTCTGTGACAGCTGAGTCGTGCTCACACATTTCACTTCTGCCAGCTGTGCTGCAGGATGCTGACCTCGGGCAGAAAGGCAATGCCAACAGCCTTGTTTCTACAGATGTCTTGTTGAAACTGTCACAGCTAGGCTCAGTACCTCTCTAACACTGCAATCATCCTAAATCTGAGTGGCTGTCATTTTTTAATAAATAAATAAAGGCTACACAGGCACAACCTGTATACACTGCTCTGGGGATTAAGTATATCCCTCTCCATCATGAGATAAGGCAAGCAGAACTTAGTCCAGCAACCCAGGGTTGGTTATTTTTGGTTTTGTTTTCTGGTTTTCATTTCTGAAAATGCTGTTACTGTTGTTCTGGGAGTGAATTCTAAGTCTCCACAACACAATTTTAAGAGGATTTGTCTTGAAGTTGATTTCCCTGAAGATAAGTTTTCTGCAGACAAATGAACTAGTTCCTGTGAGAGAATGCCCAACTTTGGTCAGCCACCAGCTGCATTTTTTTCTGACTGGTCGAGCTGGTAACTTCTTAACATTTGAGTTGCACAAGAAACTCCTTGTTCTCTTGGTGTAGCCAAC